TCTTCACCAACGCTCTCCTCCTCTGGTCCCTTCACACACTTGAACCCAGAGGGAAAGGGTGTAGCCACATGGCCTTCACTCTGCCCAAAGTTGGCAGCCAATGCCTCCAGGTACTTTCGTTGATGCACCCGCATGCACCGCTTCTCCACATCTCGTTCGATGTGGAGCCCAAGGTAGAAGCTCACGTCACCAAGGGCCTTGCACTTGAACTTGTCTCGAAGCTTCAGCATCACCTCCTTCACAAGGTCAGAAGAGGGTGAGAAAATGAGGATGTCATCCACATAAACCACCATGAAACTCCTCTGCTCCCCCTCGCCAAGCATGAACAAGGAGTGATCGGCCGTTGAGGGAGTGAAGCCGATCCCCTCCAACACTTCGCGCAGCTTCATGTACCATTGCCTAGGGGCCTGCTTCAGCCCATAGAGGGCCTTCTTCAGCTTCCACACTCTGCCACTACCATCATCAAACCCCTCTGGCTGCGCCATAAAAATCTCCTCCTCAAGGGTGCCGTTAAGGAATGCCGTTACGATGTCCATTTGCTTTACTACCCATCCTTTGATGGCGGCTCCCGCGAATAGGGTTCGCAGCGTCGTTGGCTTCACCACAGGGGCAAACAGCTCCTTGAAGTCCACCTTCTCCTTCTGCTGGTACCCCTTGGCTACAAGCCTAGACTTGTAGCGCTCGATCTTGCCGTCGGCATCCGACTTGATTTTGAAGAGCCACTTGGACGTTATCGCCGTACGCCCCTCCGGTAGCTCCACCAATTCAAACGTGTCATTCTCCTCGATGCTCTTCAGCTCACTCTCCATGGCCTTCTTCCACTCCTCAGCATCACTACTCTCCAAAGCCTCCTTGAGAGTTGCTGGTTCTCCCGGCATCTCCACCGGAGAGAAGAACGCGAAGGCACACTCCTCGTAGTCACTCTCCTCGTCGTCTCCGACCATCATTGCCGCTCCGGCCAGGGCTGTCTTGCCCTGCTTTCCCGGCGCATCATAGGTCAGCCTATTAGGGGGTTGAACTCTCCTCTTCCCCCTTCCTTCCTCCTCAGCTGCAGGGACTTGAAGGCCTTGGCGTTGCTGCGGTGTGGCTCGAATCCGTGGAGCACTCGTAGTACGGGAAGGGAGTGACGGTGCACGCTCGCTCACTTGCTGCACCTCCTCCTCTTCTTCCTCTGCATCATTGGCCTCCTCTCCCCCATTCACAAGGGAGGATTGCCTTGTGGTTGTGCTGCCGCTGCTCAGCTCCAAAGGCAGCTCCACATGCTCCAAACCGGAACTCTTCACCTCCCCAAACCGCACACCTATCTTCGCCTCATTCTCCGCCTTCCAATCCTTGTACGTGAAGTTCTCCATGAACTTGCAGTCCCTGCTCACCAAGAACTTCTTGGTGAATGGGTCCCAAAGAAGCCATCCCTTGCTGTTTTGAGCCATGCCCAAGTGCACGGCCCACACCGCCTTGGCACCAAGCTTGTTGTGCCGAAGATGCTTAGGCACGAGCGCCATGCACATGCACCCGAACACCCGAAGCATATCCACCTTTGGCTTCCTTCCTAGCCACTCCACATAGGGCACCCATTTGTCTGCTCCCACATGAGTCAAGGCTCTGTTCTTGGCCACACACGCGCTCCGCACCGCATCAGGCCAGAAATAGTCGGGTAGCCCGGCTTCAATGAGCAACCCGCGTGCCGCCTCCGTGATTGTGCGGTTCGCTCGCTCGGCGATGCCGTTCATTGCAGGGGAGTATGGCATGGTGAGGGAGTGCCGAATACCATTCTTCTTCAGCCACAACCCAAACTCCTTGCTCAGGAACTCTCCCCCTCGATCGGTGCGGATTGACTTGACTAGACGGTCTTGTTGCCGCTCCACCATCGGGAACCAATCCGTCTTCAACGTTTCAGCCACGTCGCTCTTCTTGGCCAGCACGTACACCCAAGTCATGCGGGTGTAGACGTCGACAATGGTGAGAAAATACTCAGCTCCAGCAGCTCCAAGCTTCAGGGGGCCCACCACGTCCATCACCACCTCATCAAGCGGTGCCTTTGCCGTTGCCTCCGAACTAGGGAACGGAAACCGGGTGAACTTGGCTTGAATGCACGTCGGGCAGCCAAGCACCTCATCGGGCTCCCCCTTCACACGTATGCCAGCAACCATCTCATTCTTCACTAGCTGCTGCAAGATGGGCAGGGCCACATGCCCCATGCGCCGATGCAAGGTGAGCCAATCACACTCCCCCGTAGCCGAAGTTGGATTGGAGAATGCCGCGCTCGCAATAGCGCCCCACATACTCTCTCCGTAGTCCTCCTCCGCTGCTGCCTCTGGGTTCTCCTCACCCTTTTGCTGCTCCTTGGTTGCTGCACCACTCTCCTTAGGTTCACTGAACTTGCTGGTCCCTCCAGGTTTGCTCTTCTTGAGCTCATTCTCCTTAGCGCGACCGTTCGCGCCATCGTCGCTACCGACCGCTCCATCCTTGGTGCTGATGCTTGCTGCCACTTGCCTCTCCTTAGGCATAGGGACAACTGGGATCTGCCACACCTCGTTGTAGACATCCCTGTCCTCATGAAGGTCCCAAAGAATTCGATCGCCAAGCCTTGCGGTGTAGGTCTTGGCTCCCTTCGAGTTCGTGTCCATGCCGGCCTTTGCCAACCGCCGCACGGAAATCAGGTTTGCAGCAAGGCTGGGCACCCAAAGCACGTTCTTGAGGCCCACCATCTTCCCATCAGCACCCTTGAACATGGCCTTGCCCATGCCTTTCACCTCTGCTCGCTGCCCCAAAGCCGATGTGACATGCTTCACCGGTGACGGCTCGAGTTCGGTGAGCAAGTCCGGGCGAGGTGTCATGCTATAGGTAGCGCCACTATCAATCACCCAATAGTCCAGGGGGTGTAGGGTCACCTTCCCCACAGCTGCTGGCTCCTCAAAGCCTTCATCCTTCTCTGGACCAGCCGGTACTTGCGTCGACACGAAGTAGAATAGACCCGGGTATCGATCGTCGCTCGGGTCCTTGTCGTTGTCTCCGCTCTCCATGTTTGCAGCTCCGCCACCGCGACCGCCACGGCCTCCAAGGCCTCGTCCTCTCCCTCCTCCTGCTCCTCTACCCTCTTGGCCTTGAGCAGGGGTCCAACCATCAGGGAGTTTGTAGCAGTCGCGCCACATGTGTCCGCTCTTGTGGCAATAGTGACACTCGCCGTCGAATCGGCCGCGACCGCGTCCGTAGCTCTTGTCGTCGCTGCCGTAACCGCCACTCCTGCGGCCTCCGCCGAAGTTGCTGCCACCAAACCTTCCTCCCCCTCGTCCTCTGCCTCTTCCTCGACCACATCCACGGCCGATGCTCGCTGCCCCAGCGCCATCCGCACTCGCCAACTCACGGCGGCGGAAATCCTCTTGAAGGATAGCTCGCTTCACGTCTTCAAGCGAGAGGCGGGGCAAGTCGCGATTAAGGTTGATGATGAGCGAGGACCATGACTCTGGGAGTAAGGCCAGCAACTTGGTCTTCTTTTGGAGCTCACTGTAGTTCAAATCAGCTCCCTCAAGCCGCGTCAACAAGTCGAAGAATTTCTGCACCCCTTCTTCAACCGCTTCGTTTTCTTCAATTCGTAGTGCCGCCATTTGCCGTTCCAACACCACCGCTACCGCCGCTGTTGCAGGAGCATGTACACCCTTGAGAGCAGCCCATGCCTTTGGTCCTTTCTCTGGTTCACGCTGGAATGGCTTGATGTGACGGATCTGACTGCTCCCCAACGCTTGCCCAAGTAAGAGATAGCCTTGTGCGCTCTTCCGCACCCACGGGCTCTTCTCCGGGTCGTTCTCGGGGCGCTTCTCCGTTCCTTCCATCACCTCCAGCAGGTCATAGTGGTCAAAGATGTTCTCCATCTTGAAGGACCATTCAGCAAAGTTGTCACCGTTGAACTTGTCAAGCCCAAACACCCTAGGCTCATCCCTAGGTGGGCCAAAACTTGGTTGCATGGGCGCCATGGCTGAATCACGGGGTTGGCCTTGAGCTTGAGCTTCTACACTGCCACCAGCACCTCTGCCACCCCTTTCCTCAGGTCCAGACATTGTCGAAACTGCTCCAAGGGGCTCTGATACCACTTGTTATAGTCACAATAGGCTTGAATGTGCCTAAAACGAAAGATAGAGAGCACAGACGGATTTCTGCACAGCGGCTTCAAACGTTGATAGCGTTCTGCTCACAGCTGCAAATGACTTGATTCAAATTGGATCTGGAGCGTCGTCACGTCGTCTACAATTAGCAATTTAGATTGCACGATTGGATAAAGAATTGACGACACAGCGTCGGTTTGAACGAACGGTACTATGGCAGCCACTATAGTCTTAGAACACAAGATAGGAAGATTTACGAGTTGGGAATGACTCCCAGCTCCTACAAACCCCAAGAGCCGAGGTACAGTGATGTGGAACAGTGCCACACTGTCCCCAACCACGAAGGGTCTCGAAACTACCCTTCACTAGGGCCTACACCAAGTGAAATGTTACACTACACAAAGTAATGTAACTATCTTCAATATCTTGAGGTGTACCCTTTTGGCAAGCTTCGAAATCACTTGAGGCTTGACACCAAGGCTCGGGCTCTTCATCACAAACTCATCCTTGAGTTCTTGATGGGTCTGCTGCACACACCTGCGACACGCCGAACGTTCGACACAGGACAAAATAGAAACCGCGCACGACAAAATAGAAACCGCACGCGAGACACAAACGACCGCGTAACACGCGTCTAGCGATAACTCGCTATTGACTCGACACACACACTCGACATCATGACTCAACATTCACACACAATTATAAGCATGAACTATATATTATCCCATGCCCTCATACCATTCCATACACACACACATTCACGCACACGGACAACAAGCCGAGTGCAAACCGTAGGGTTGCACCAACAGTTAGCGGGGGAAGGAAGGGAGGAGGCTGAAGAGGAGGGACCACTGAGTGGGTTGCGCTCACCAGTTTTTCAGGCGCATCAACCGTCAAAGCTCACCAGCTGTGTGGGGCGTGCGCTCTGCTCACCAGCAGTGTTAAGGCGTGTGAAAACTCGAAGCTCACCAGCTGCGTGGGCCCGGTGGTGCGGATGCCCACCACCTCCCTCTGCGTCGTGTTGGTCTTGCGCGATACCGCTGATACCTTCACGCCCACCTGCACGCACGGCAAACAGGTGAGGAGAAGGCAGGGCGGGGAGGGGAAAGGAGGTGAGTGAAAGGAAGAGAAAGGAGGGAGGCAGATGTGACAGAAGAGGGAGTGGGAAGAGGGGGACAAGTGGATGAGAGGGAGATCCCAAATGTGAAGGAAGGAAGCGGTGAGCGGTTGAGACAGCAAAGGAGTGCAATGTAGCGTGCCAAAACTCGCAACTAACTCAACCCCGCATCTGCTCTTTCTTACCCCCCTCCCCCACCTTACTCCGCTTAAACGCTTCCCCTACCGCTTCCCCTCTTCCAGCCTTCCGATCAAAGTCGCTCCTTACCCATTCCTCCCACTACTCCCACCCTCTCTCACTCTTTCCTCTTGCTCACCCTCCCTCCTCACCCCTTCCATCCCACTCTAACCTCTCTCTCTCTCTCTCTCTCTCTCTCTCTCTCTCTCTCTCTCTCTCTCATTTCCCCCCACCAGTCTGTTCATCAGGGCGGACTTCCCCGCGTTGGGCGCGCCCACCAGCGCCACACGCGCAAACCGCTGCTTCTCCACCGCCACCTGCCCCTCCGCCTCCGCCTGTCCCCCGCCCGCCACCCCCAACCAGTCCCCCAAACCCCTGAACCCCGGCCGCTACCCCCTCTCACGGAAACTCCTCCGCCACTCCTCTTCCTCCTCGTCATCTCCCCCCACCTCCCCGTGCCCTTCCCTGCGCCTCTCCTTCTCTCTCCTCCCGCGTTCCCTCACTCCCCCATCCTCTCCTCCCGCGTTGCCGCTCTCCCCCGCGTCGTCCCCTGCCCAGTGCCGTTTCCCGCGGCTCATCCCCGCGAAGAACCGCCCGCTGAGAATCGTGTCCGCGATCTGCTTCGCATTGCGCAGATCCTCCTCCGACGCCACGCCGTACCCGCTCATGTCGTCATCGTCGTCCTCGTTATTGGCCTCCGCGTTACTAACACCCTTTGCGGTAATTACAGCCTCATTGGTACGACTACCCTGCTCGGTGTTGCCAAGGCTTCCCTCTCTTGATCGTCCTTCTTCCGCCGTCCCTCCCCCTGCCGCCGCCTCGCCGCCTGCCTCCTCCCGCACCCGAACCCGTCGCTGTCTCGTCGGCATTTCCTGCTTCTCCCCGTCCGCTAAATCCACCCCTCCCCGCGCCTCAACATTCCGATCCTCTTCCCGAACCTCATCCCAAACCCTTCCCCGTTCCTCCTCCCTTCCGTCATTGAAATTCCCTCTTCTTTCCACCTCCTCCCCCTCTACTTCCGTCGCGCCATAGCTCACATGCAAATCCCCCACACTCTCCTCCTCCCCGCCAGCCGCTCTCTCGCCCGACGGTCCAGATCTCTCCCCAGCAACCGGCGGCTCCGATCCAACGACCGCGACGGCTCGAGATGAGTGAAGAAGCCGGGAAAGCAGAGCGGACGAAGCGGAGAGCCCGCATCCATGAACAAGCGGCATGCGGCTGTTGTGGTAATGATGATGACAGATGCTAGGAGACGCAGGCTGCGGTGACGAGTGAGTGGCGACTAATCGGATCAGCGCGGGGTTACGGTGACTACCTAAATCGCAGGGATGGTTACGGTGAGACGCGCTGAGGAACGATGAAGGTGGGGGAGGATGAGACGTGCTGGAATGACGGCGCGAAGGCGTATCTGCGAAAATGTTAGCGTGCGATGAATCGGTGGCGTGCGATGAATCGGTGGCGTGCGATGAATCAGTGGCGTGCGATGAATCGGTGGCGTGCGACGATGCGAGAGGTGCAGCTGGTGAAGGTGAGAGGTGTTCGCGAAGAGATGCGAGGCGGAGTCTTCCGCTGCGAGCGACGGCTATTGCGCGACGACGGACGTCAGGCGATCGGAAGGCATGGCTCGTCATCTATAGAAGGGACAGAGGAGTTTGCACAGGAGGAGGAGAGGGGGAGGGAGGTGCAGGGAAAAGGAGAAAGGTAAAAAGAAGAGAGGGAGAGGGGGTGTGGTCAGCACACGAACAAGACCAATTACACGGGATTGAGGAAAGAAGCAGTGATGGGAGAAAGTGAGCAGATATGGAACAGAGAAAGAGGGAGACTTGATGACAAACGTGGAAACAGGGGCTGTTGAAAAGGGGCACTGCAGATATTGCAGCAAGGCAGGAACAAATGCAGTCGGTGAAGGGTGGTGAGCTGGAGAGTGCATAGGGTGTTCACGTAGAAGCGCTTCGCGGAATCCAGGCCAAACATAGGAGGAGAAAGCAGAGACAGGCAGAGATTCGCTAAAAGACTCAAGAAGAAGCACAACAACAAACGAAACGCGATAGGAACCAGAGAAGGCGGACCAGGTTGGAGGGGTACATAGAGGGGGCTGATACGCAGGGGGGGTAGCATCAATCAAACGGAGTGAGCTGAATGGGCCGAGCAGTCAGACGGTCCTAGATACAATGGTAGTGGGAGAAGGTGGTTTCGGAAAAGGCAATCGTAGGGTGAGAGAAAGAAGACAGCCAGAGAAGCCTCCTCTGATTTTGAATGTAATAGATGCAAGTGCGTGGGGGGCGCTGGGCCAACCCAATCTCAGCAAGCTAGCTGTTGGTGGTTGGCTTGAGAGACGACGGGGCTGGTCGGAAACCAATGCACCATTTACCCAAATCAGATTTCGCCCTTTTTTTACCTGATAATTCCTCATTCTCCTCTCAGGCTACATCACTCACAGGATAGGTCAGTCAAACCCTTACTCAGTGAGAGAGAGACCAGGCATGTGACAGAATGGTGAATGCGCCAAAGAGAAGAAAATGCAGCACGGGAAGGGCCAAGCAGGCCAACAATGCGTCGAGGGGCAACAATGTGCCTTGGCGTTGTTCTAGATTCGTAAGCTCATTCGCCAACAAAGTTACATACTGGGGCTCTGATACGCGTACGAGCACCAATGTAGCCTTGCAGTGGACGAAAGAGACTGGGAAGACAATGGGGAAGCTGATGGATTCACCAGTCCAAACACTTACCTTTGATTAGGTTTGTTTGAACTGTCGTGTTTCCGTGGCGGCTCGAGGAATGAAACAGCAGCTGCAGCGTGGAGTCGGTCAATCTGATGGCGGACCTTGGCGATTCTGAAAGTGGTGCGAGGGAAGGGATGCAGGGGGGACGAGCGGGCGGGACTGGGCAGGTACTCAATGCGAGTAACACTCGCTCCACCTTGGTAGTCAAACAAGGCAAACCATTACGCCACTGGGGTGGCGGAGGAGGAGCATCCGAGTGAAGGTGCGGCGAAGATTCACTGGGCAACCTGGTAGAAGGAGATGAGGCGACGAGGATAGGTGATGAAACAAGGAATGAAAACATGCGAACGGATGACGTCGGGTGGAGCGGGCATGAATTGGACACGCAAGTATTGTGAGGGCGGGAGAGCAGAGCAGAGTGTTGGAAGAGGACGAAGGAGATACGTCTTGAGTGAGGTGAGGGGTGGATGAAGATATGCACGTCCCACTCCCACAAAGACCACCGAAATCGCCAATCTGCGCGGATCGGCAGTCGAAATCGTCAACCCGCGCGAATCCTTGGATAAAAATGTGGCCGATCCGCGCATATCGACGGTCGGAATGTGCCAATCTGCGCGGATCGACGGTCAACATTGCCAATCGGCGGAAATCGGAGGGCTGCAGTGTCGATCCGCATAACAGCGGCAATCTAAACGAGGACATGAAAAAGGCAGGATGTGTGATGGCGGGACTTGCAGCAATGCGAGGACGCACACTCATTTTTTTCTTGGCAATGCAGGCTGATTGAAAACCCGAATGGTGTTTCTTTGCCCGAATAAGAGCATGGAGACACAGAGCATTCATGCATGACTACTCAACTTTTATTTGCTGCATTCTCTTTTGCGCGCTAAGTGTTAGAGACGTGGAATGGAGACGGCGGGGCGGCAACGGTATACAGATGAGAGGAACAGAGGGTAGAAGGAGCACTAAACGACTGAAAGGCATCAAAGAAAGGAGTAGAATGATAGTTCGGGTAGGGTTGTGCGCGAGGCGAAATGAATGGAATGACGAGACCAAATTACCTCAGGCGTGTTTTTAGGGTTCGAAGATAATAAAGACATGCTGAGAGACTCGCGCACACACTTGGATCTTAGCTCCGAAACAGGCTCTGGGCACGCAACGATCTGAAATGCGCAGTTGTTAACTCACTCGAGAAAATGGCTTGACGAGAGCAGAGGCCAAACGAGAAAGATACCATGATGGTAGTGCAGACAGATACTAGCCTAATCAGTGGTACTCGTTAGGGCGCGTGTCGGTGCTTCCGTTAAAGCGACGGGCAACTTTTGGCAGTGTTGGGTTCAGAAGTTTTTTTTTTGAACCAGGCTTGCCAGCGCGAAAGTGCTGGCTGGCGAAAACCAGGATTTCGTGCGGACACTTTCCATCCGCAGTAACAGTTCGCCAGGGTTCTGGGTTTTGGGTGGCAAATGTGCACCGTCGCTTTAAGAGATCGTGGGGATGTGTGTTTAGCCTCCATTCACGAAATTGCCACTTGGGTCATTCTGGGTTACCGGACTTAAAGCTGGGCGTGAACCGGGCCAGTAACCATCTACTTTCCATATTTCTTCACAATAGCGAGAATTGATGTTTCCGATACGCGAACTTTCTTTGACGAAAAGCGGAGTGGTAACTGCGACTGGTGTGAAAGGCAATGCAGTCTCTGAACGGGTTAAAGCTCGCGTCTCGTAATTCTGGCTTCCAACCAAGTGTTAAGGCCCGCGGGCCAAATTGCGGAGCGCGCGGGTCAAGCTTTTAAAACTTGACGAAGTTGAGTGTCGAAACTTTGAAAACTAACGCACCTGCAATTTGGGACTTTCCGAGACTGATCCAACCCCCAGGGGGAAATACGAGGGCAGGCTGGGTTTGGCGAAAAATATGAAATCGGAATCACTCGCCAAACCCCAAACCAGAAAAACCCCCTCGCGTCAACTTTTTAAAACTTGTGCAATTTGGGCCAACGGCTATAAACGGTTGGAATCCGGTAACAGCACGGTTTTGTCGCAAAACACACCAAGGCAAGGGGTGGATTGGGAAGGTTGGTTGGTAGTGGTTTGAAATTGGGCCACGATTGGTTAGGACATTGTCAGACATTGGAGGAGGCGGAGGCGGCGGCGGCGGAGGTGGAGCTGGTAGAGGCGGAGCTGTGCAGCGGGGACCCCAGCAGCAGCAGCGCTCTCGTGAGACCCCTTCGCCCCAGCAGCTTCGTGAGTGGTACGCGGGGCGCCAGGGGTCTGGGGGTGCTGGTCCCTGTACTTACGTCCTGCGCACCGGTGACCGCACTGGAGAGCAGTGTGGCGGCCTGCACGCCACCCAGCGCTGCTTCGGTCGCCTGACGGACGCCTGGCGTGCCCAGTTCCCGGACGCCACTGAGATCCCTCGTTGGGGAGATCTGCTCAGGTCGGGGGTAGCTATCTTTGATCTTGACTTTGATGCTATTCTTGCTGCCATGTATGCTGTGTCTATTAGTGCTGAGGGTGACTGTTACGTGTGTGTTCCGCCTGACCCTGGTATTGAGGCTGCTGCTCTAGGTGCTAGTGAGTCTGCTGCTCCAGGTACTCGTGAGTCTGCTGCTCTAGGTGCTGGTGAGTCTGCTCTCTCAGGTACCGAGTCGGCTCAGGTCTTTCACACCTTCACCCTCGACTCGGGTGCTTCCCGCTCCTTCTTTCGAGACCGCACCACCCTTACGCCGCTCAGTCGGCCGGTTGCGGTCTCCCTGGCAGACCCCTCTAAGGGTCCTGTCCTTGCTCGCTACTCCACTGTCCTCCCGTGTCCGGCGGCCCCGTCAGGCTCCCTGTCTGGTCTCTACCTCCCCTCGTTCTCCACGAACTTGGTGAGTGGTGCTGACCTTCAGGATGCCGGAGTTGACCAGTTCACTCCTGCGAGTCAGCGAGTGACCCACTGCACGTGTGCTCAGACGGGCCGCCACTTGGCCTCGTTTACCCGTCGACCGGGGTCGAGCCTGTACACACTGACCACAGAGTCTCCACCGGTTGCTGCGTCTGGTCAGGTAGCTGCGTCGAGTCAGGTGATTGCTGCAGCGTCTCGGTCAGGTCCTGAGTCTGCCCCCTGCTCGTGTCGCCTCCTGTCCCACCAGACCCTCCTCTGGCACCACCGCCTTGGTCACCCCTCCTTGCCTCGTCTCCGAGGCATGGCCTCCCGTGTCCTTGTCTCTGGTCTCCCCCGGTCCCTCCCTCCCCTTCCCCCGGGGCCTGCCCCTACCTGCGTTCCCTGCGTCGAGGGGCGGCAGCGCGCCGCTCCTCACTCCTCCGAGTTTTCCCCGACAGAGGCTCCGCTGCAGACTCTTCACATGGACGTGTGGGGCCCAGCCCGCGTCCGTGGACAGGGTCACGAGCGTTACTTCCTGCTGGTCGTTGACGACTACTCGCGTTACACCACTGTCTTCCCCTTGCGCAGCAAGCGTGAGGTCACTGAGGTGTTGATCGACTGGATCCGCG